CTTTCCCTAGAGTAACTCAAAAGTAATGCCACTGAGGCAGGGGAGTCTCCCCAGTTGGACAAGGCTGTAGGTAACAGAAAAAATCATCTGATCCTGGGAATCGATGAGCAGGAGGGAGGTGGAACTAGCCAACCCATATAACTGGCATTGTTGTCTCATTCAATGGTTATGCAAAATAACTACAGATTCCACCAGCATTCTGGAGGGTAAACAATACTGGGCTGAAAGAGACTTTAGCTCTCCCTAAGGTCAGTGGGAGTGTGTTGCACCAGGTATGAATTGCCTCCAGCTGCATTAGGGCATTAGGGCTGGTGTAGGCATAAATTAAAGTAGGACCGCCCAGGTTTGCTCTTTTCACCCTTCAGTTGTCTGCGTTATCTGCTGTCCTGTGTCTGCTTCCAGAATGCAAGGCCTAAATTCACAATGATGACGTGAATGTGTCCAGGGCCTTCAGAGGGAGGTTGGGGATGATAGCCCCTCCTGACTGTGGATCCCCAAGCCCAAGTCTGTGGTGGACATGCCACTCTATCCTTTACATTCACAAGGAGCTGTCTTGGGCCAGCTTCAGCCTTATTACATCAGTGTAGACCTGGAGTAACTCTGACTTCATTGCAGCTACTTCGTATGTTTGTTGCTGTAACTGAGAATGGAGTCTGGCCCTTAGCTGCAATGACCAAAGCACATGGCCACTGAATGCTCAGTGTGTGTATCTTACGCTCATTTTTACATCGCTACTGAATTTGACCTAGAAGCTGCCTTCCTTCTGCATGTGCCCAGCAATGTGAAACGTCTTCCATTTGGCCTTAGTGGCCTTTCTTACTGACACTCATGTAACTCCAAAGGACCTTCTCCAATGCTATACCAGCTACTGGGCAAGGGGAGGCTATCAGATCAGCATCCAATGTCAGCTATAACATCAAAGGGGCCAGTGGCACTGGGACATGTCCCCCAGCTCAGAGGAGGAATGAGTTCTGTAGTGTCCTCTCTATGCCATCTGGCTGGGCAGGGAGCAAACCTTACCTTGGAGACTTCTCAGGCATGCCCAGATCTGGAGAGTGGGGTCAAAGCTCAGATCTCTGGGCAGACCCTGTCCTGTGCCATCAGGATTATCTCCTATTGCCCAGGCATTAATGTGCAGGGCAGGGCAAGCCAGGGCAGGCCAAGGCAATAGGAGATCCCATGCACCTGTGGTGGGAAGAACCCCCCCAGTGACCACAGGCAGGACAAGACACATTTCCCT